TCTCTCACACACACACACAGACACACACACACACACACACACACACACACACACACACACACACACACACTTATGTGTATTTCATTCGCCTTTTATTCTTTTGTGGCTCTTCTTTTTACAGAGGTAAAACTTAAAGATTAATCTTTACCTGAGAATACCTTTTCTATCACCTTTTGGTGTTGTGTGGTAGCGGGAACTGATCATCGCCAACATATTGTGCAAGGCGTCTGTCCTATGTTATTCATGCTGAAATTTAAAAGAAAACAGCATTTTGTCTAATGAGTGTTGTTTGTGTACGTGTCGATATTTCCTGTGTATGCGGAAATGTGTATGTTTTTTAAAGTGTTTTTGGTGAGCCGGGGTGTGGGGGAGGGGGGGGGGTGATTAACTTACTTGAGCCTGGGCTATTTTTCACCCAACAATCATTGCAGCCTGACACGTTTGGAGTATATTGAAGCGTTAATCGCCAAAGACCCTAAAAAAAACTATCATGATTTTTTTTAAAAAGTAAGTTAACCCAGATGTGTGTTTGTTTGAGTATATTATCTGTCAATGTGTGTGTTTTCTTACAGGTCATCTTGTTCATAGAGGGGACGCCCCCAGGGCAGTTCTACTGACTGAAGTGTCTTTAGGCCATTCCCAAAGGGGGGACATTTCTTGTTCTAATGCGCAGTAGGATTGTAAATGGGCTGATCTAACAATGTCACGCTCATAACTGTGCTTGAACTACAACAGGGAACTGCTGCTTTTTCTTTCCTAATCCTTACTATCGTCATTTTCCTCTACTTCTTTTGTATGTTTGTCACACTTTTGTGACCCGCTTTTTCCGGGGTGCCTTGATAGTCGAAGCAGACTTTGTGCTGTTGAAGCTAGAAAGGTGAGCAGAGTAAGTCTGATTCTCTGTATGGACTTTTCTGTTGACATCCACCCCTTGACGCTCATATGATCTTATACAGTTGCGAGCGCCGAATAACCTCTATTAAAACCCAAAAAAAAACCACCACCTATATCACACAATCGGCTTACATTCGTCAGACGGAAGGAATCGCCGCGTTTTAACACTCTTCGTTCTTGAGATCGATGCCTTCATTCCTATGTTGAAATATTATTATTGTCAGTCATGCAGTACAAACGTTCGAGATTTGAGAAGGATGAAAATCTGAATCGATACCTCCTCTGAAAACGATCTATGCTCGATGTACCACGAGCGTGACGTAACTGTAGGGGTGTGTGTGTTTGTGTGTGTGTGTGTGTGTGTGTGTGTGTGTGTGTATGTGTGTGTGTATG